GCGGGGCGGGGCCGAGGCGATTTAATGCCCGGAAATGGCGCCGGCCGCCATTTGCTCACTCAGGGCACGGTGAGGAGGGCTCAGCCGGTGAGGCGCGGGGGCTTCGGCCTCCCCTTCTGTCCTCCCCTTTACTCCTCCTTCCTTCTCCCGGTATTCCCCTTCTTTCTCCCTCTTTCCCCCACTTTTCTCTTCCCCCAAACCCGACCCCCCCGATTCTTCCTCTCCTGTCCCTACCCTGTTACCCCCGCATCTGTTCCCATCTCCCCGTCGTCTGTCCGCCCTCCCTCTTCCCCCCACACCGGGCCTTTCCCTTCCCCTCCCGCTTCCCTCCTCACTCCTCACCTCCCCTCTCTCCCCGCCCTCGGTGCAGTCCCCGCAGGGGGCTGCTCACACACACCGGCGCCACTGCGCCTTCCCCGGGGCTGGCAATGGCTCTGGAACCAAAAGCACCTTCCCAGGCTGGAGAGGCTTTCTTAAAGAACCACCTCTGGAAAGCAAACGGCTATGGAAGAAATGGAGTGGTAATTTACAATAATAATCATAATAGTATTGGGAAAGAGCAACAACGGGAGCAACAATAATTCCAAAGGTCCAGGAAGGATGCTGAGCTTTAAATGGGTTTTGAGTGAGGCAGCATCTCCTGGGAGTTGTAAAGCACAGCTCCAGGTCTGGGATTACAGGAGCAGTGCAAACTCCTACTGTCCAATCCCTGGATTTGCCTCCTGCCAGCACGCTGCACCTTGGGCATGTTGGGGTACAGATGCTGCTGCCTCGAGGGACTGGGAAAATGAACATTAAACCCCTTCCCACAGGGCTGGCTCTGAGCTCTGGCTGGGGAAGGTATTTGGCACCCCTGGCATTTCAATGGAATCTGTTTCCAGCGTTTTGGAGATACACTGAATAAACCCAGGGCACACAAATAAACCTTTATCCATAGGGCCAGCCCTAGGGAATACAAAATTATTCCTTTGCCTGCTCAAACAAACCAGCAGCCAATTTTTGGGGAGCGACCCCAGACTCTTGTCTCCCTGCCTGGCTGTAAAAGACTTGCAGAGGCTTTGGAGTTCATACATGCTTGTCATGATTTGGATACTTCATTTAAATTCCATTCATAGTAAGGAACTGGAAATGTTCTAAAGGCCCCTCCACTCATACTTGAATTTTAAGCCCATTGCCACCAATGAATTTGGATTTCCTTTTTTTGGGAGCACCCCACTTCTGCTTCTTTATGCACGGTGCCTCCATGTGGGAAATGAAACAAAATAAATGTGGACTAAAGTCTGGAATGCAGCTTCCAAGTCAAGTTACCTGCTAGGAATGACTCCAGCTTTCTGGTACCTCAGGTTGTTTAACCACAGCCTGGCCCTTTAGGGCTGTAGACTGAGCTGCACAACTTGGGAGCTGGCAAGTAACAGCAGCTGAGGCCTCATCCCAGCTGTACAAAAAAATAGGGATTGGGCTGCATTTGGATACATGCAGGCAGGTTTGGGCCACTTCAGGAAGCTTCAGCTCCTGTTTTTCAGAAATTCCATCAGGGATAATGCCTTTTCACAAATCTCTTCTAAGGTACATTAGAACCTGCATAGGAAAATGGACTCAAGCCCTTTGCTCCATTTGCCTCAGGTCCTAAATTCCAATGGGACAGACAAGTCCCTCTCCTCCCCAAAGCTCCACACTGTAGGCATGGAGAATATTCCCACCCCGTGTCCCATTTGTGCTGTTTACTTTTTGGAATGCAGCGACACTTGTATTGCTCAATCCGCTGCCAGTGCAATCCACACAGAGCCTACACACGGTGCTGCTGGTAGCGGCTGTGCTCGGGCCAGAATAAGGAGAGCCAGCAGAGCCTCTGAAGGCTCAGGCCCAGCCAAGCCCAGCCTGGAACTCTTCCCTGTGCTCCTCACTCACACGAGGGAGCGCACACGCGTTACACCACAGCCAAGCGCTGAACACCAAAGCTTCCCTTCCTCCCCAGACACAGCCACAGAGGTGCAAAGCACCTTCTTACAGCTCCAGCTGCAGCCCAGCCACGGTGGGAGCAAGCGCAGCTATTTCAGCTGGTAGAAGTCACGGCTCGAGCAGAAACAGACCTCGAGAAGTAATTACAGGATGTAGGAACCCCAGGCCTTAAATCAAACCGCATTTGTCAGCTCCAGATAAAACTCGTCACTGCAGCTTCACAGCACCAGGGCCTGAAGCGCCCTACTAGAGCCTCTCCCCAAAACTTCCCGAAAAGTTACGTCAGGTCCAGCACAGAAACAAGGCACAGAAGGTCGGGAGTGCCGAAAGCACTGGGACACGGCACGGGGGACAGGGACACACCACGGGGGACAGGGACACGGCACGGGGGACAGGGACACGGCACGGGGGACAGGGACACACGGTACGGGGGACAGGGACACACGGTACGGGGGACAGGGACACACGGCACGGGGGACAGGGACACACGGCACAGGGGACAGGGACACACACCACCGGGGACAGGGACACACGGCACGGGGGCCAGAGGCTGGCAGGACGTGCCGGGGCAGCCCCCGTTGCCCCCCGCTCCGGGCACACGCGGCGNCCCGAGCCGCCGCTCTGCCCCGCCCGGCCGAGGCACCGCCCGCGCCGCTCCCGGGGCCGGCCATGAGGGAGCCGGCGGGGGGTGGTGCGGACGGCCGCGTTCCCAGAGCCCCTCAGGAGCTATCGCAGCAGCGCTGAGGCCGGAGGGGACCTCCGAGATCATCGAGTGCGGCCCACTGCTGAGCACCGCGGCACGAACCTCACCCTGGTACCAAGTGACACGTGCAGGACTAAAACACCCCCAGAAACCGTGACTCCGCCACCTCCCTGGGAACAGCCCGGGGTGCTCTGGCCGGCACCCGGCCTCCCCTGCCCACCTCGGGACCCCGACGAGTGTCCCCGGTCTGCGGTGCTCTGAAGCGGCCCGAGATCCCCCCGAATCGCTCCTCGGCAAGGGAAGGGGTCCGGCCGCGGCTGCCGAGCAGCGAGCCCGGTGCTGCAGGAGGCAACACCGCCACAGCCGAGCACCGCAGCACCGAGAAACACCCTGGTTAAATCTGCAGTGCACCCATGCCAGCGGCTTGCCTCAGTGCTGAGGATAAGCACGGTGCAGGTTTTAGTGCAGGGATCCTTGCTACATTTGCACGAGCTTTGCTCTCTCATTTAAACGGTGTGAGGGACTCGGTGCACTCCATCAACAGCCTCGCAGCCATGCCAAAAAACAGCCTTGGCTTTGCCAGTTCCATGGCAGAAAGGCCTGAGATGCTGCTCTTTCAAGAGCAGAGCTACACAAACAACAGACCAAGGGGTTCAGCCAACTAACTCTTAGTTTTGTTTGGAGTTGACTCAAAGCTCTTCCTCCCAGACCTTCCCCAAGAGCTGGGTTAGAGAAAACTTTCCATGTTTTGTTCATGGAAAAGACAATTTGCTTGTACTCTGTTTCTGACCATAACATGCAAAAAATCGGAAGTTTCCATTCAAAATGGAAAAAGTATTGGTGACATGTTGAAAGCAAACATTTTGAATTCCCAGCAAAAATGGGAAGGTATCATTTGCTTTTTAAGCATAGTTTACAAAGAGGACAAGTCGATCCAAAATACTTTTTTTTCTGGCAAGTTACCAGCCTGTCACATTGGCCACACAACTCCAGTGTGTCTCAGGTTAAACGGCAGGATTGAGTTTTAGACTATGAGAAAATAAAGGCAGTTTAAAATGCCTAGGTTTCTTTGGTATCTTCCATTTCTAGTACCTCTGTTTCAAAACTTTGGTGCCTACCTATGGTTCTGATGCTCTGCAGTTGGTCTGTTTGCCCATTTTCCTCAAATCTTCATCAATTCTCCAGCAAATGTTGACAGTTTGCTGTCAGCTGATGGGTGAGTGCTGATCACACCCCAGGTCACGCCAGATTGAATCATGGGGATCCCACTCCAGCACTCCATCCTTCCTGAGATGGCTGGACTTGGACTTGCCCAATAACAAGCACCAAGAACAAATATGGATCCACTATTCTTCAGCCTTTGTTTTCTTGATTGAATTTTCTGTTGATTGCATTTTTTTTTGCGCTTTGAATTTTTAATTCAGAAAGTGAATATCTTTATTAAAAACCTAATGCAGAAGGGCTTCATTTGTCAGGATGGCATGAGAGAGATCTCTCTGAAAAAAAATCTTAGCAAACAGAACATTTAAACAACTGTTTGGATTCTTTCATCAAAGAAAATACCTTTGCAAGTTAAGACAAATCTCTGATAAGGCTTTCTGGTGTACTTATCTCTCATCTCCTGAAATAGTTTAGCTTTTTTTTTGCTCCAGGCTGGTTTGCAAGGAATGGATGATTTTCTCCACCTTTGTAAAAATGCAGCAGCCCCTGAGAAGGCAAACAATTTGCTGGTCCCTTCTGTGAAGGCTTGGGGAGGTTACAAGGAATAAGAGCATTTTTCCAGCATTGTTCACTCTTGGTGAAGGAAAAGAGCTTTTCTCTCACTTTGCACTGGGAACACACACCATCTCCGTGGTTACAAATCAATAAATGGCATTAAGTCTAGTATTTCAAGAGCTGTCAGAGGCATTTTGAAGGAGCAGTGTGCACTTTCTTACAGGATTTTCTTTGGGCAGTACTTCCCATCTCCACACTCACAGTATGGTACAGCAGTAGTGTCCTAGTGCAGTTAATTTTCAGCTGGATCAATGGGTGAGCAGATGAACTCCAAGATCCCTGGCACAAAGCAGGTGATTTTAAGAAAAAATTCTCCTGTATCAGGGTATTGAGGCCCTGGAACAGGGTGCCCAGAGCAGCTGTGGCTGCCCCATACCTGGAAGCATCCAAGGCCAGGCTGGATGAGGCTTGGAGCAACCTGGGAGAGTGGAAGATATCCCTGCCCATGGCAGAGGGTGGGAACTGGATGATCCTTGAGGTCCCTCCCAACCCAATCTATGCTATAATTCTATGAGTCTATTAATGCCAGCTCACGGGGAAGGCAACAAAACACAGTTAGAAGTCATGCACATCACAGCCAATTTGAAACAATTTTTTGTAAATAAATTCAGCACTTCACTGGGCCACAAAGGTTTCCTTTAGACCAAACCTGTTCCCCAGAATACAATAGCTGAAAGAGCTGAGGGATCTCCTTCCCAAATAACAATGGTTTCCCACCCAGGCTGTGCATGGCTTTCACTTCAGGACAGCTCAGAAGGTAGACTCAGTGAGTTTCTCCTTTTATTCCCAGCTGTAAATTTTCTATTAACCCTGCAGCTGAGCCAGGGTGTTTTCAGGTCAGGGCTCCACCATTGACTCTCCCAGCACAGTCGTGTCAGTCAGGGCTGTGATAATATCCTCTGAAGACAGCTGTACCAGCAAAAGCACCTTGTGCAGATGGAGGTATAAGCAGAGAAAATGGTGCATTTGTCCTGGGAGCTTCTTTCACATGAGGGATTTGGAATTCACCCTCTCAGCAGCAGCAGCACAGTTTTATTATTATCATGGAAATGTTTGATCTTCTGACCAACTATGGTAGCTGGG